CTTCCTCTGTTCCACAGCGTGTTCCCCTGCCGTCTCCTCCTGCGTCTTCTCTGCCTGACGTTCCAGACCCTGAGTCTGACCTGGTTCGTGCTGCTCACCCTACTGTCACGCGTCTGCTCGCCACTGTTGTCACTGACCCGTCGTTTGAGTCTGCTGCTGCGTCTGCCTTAGTCTCTGAGCTTGTTGACTTTGCTGCTGCCTGTCGTCTGGACTACGCTGCTAGTCTTGTTGCTGAGTCTGAGTCTGTCTGTCCTCCGTCCGTCGGGGGTGAGTGTGCTCTTGGCACGGACGTCCTTGAGGACAGGCAGGAGGACTCTGAGTGACTTGCAGCCGCTGCGCCTCATCTCGTGGCCATGCTGCTTGCCCCTGAGGGAGACCCGGATGCTCCAGACATCCCGACCCCGCGCTCTTACGCTGAGGCGATCGCGGGTGAGTACTCCTCTCAGTGGCAGACAGCCATGGACGCAGAGATGGCATCCTGGAAGTCCACAGGCACTTACATCGACGCAGTTCCCCCTCCTAGGGCGAACATTGGTGGTCGATGGCATGTGGATTTTCAGGGTGAAGCGGCCGCCGGGTTCTCCGCCTGTCTTCAAGGCTCGTTACGTTGCTAGAGGCTTCAGTCAGCGACAGGGAGTTGACTTCTTTCAGACCTTCTCACCCACCCCGAAGATGACCACTCTTCGGGTGCTGCTGCACGTTGCCGCTCAGCGTGACTACGAGCTTCACTCTCTTGACTTCAGCACAGCGTTCTTACAGGGCAGTCTGCACGAGGAGATCTGGCTGCGCCGCCCTCCTGGCTTCACTGGGTCGTTCCCTCCTGGTACCCAGTGGAGCCTCCGGCGGCCAGTCTACGGTCTCCGCCAGGCGCCTCGTAAGTGGCACGACACACTGAGGACGACGCTTGCGGCTCTTGGGTTCGCTCCTTTGACTGCTGACCCGTCGCTGTTTCTGCGTACCGACACTTCGCTGCCGCCGTTCTACATCCTCGTGTACGTCGAAGACTTGGTCTTTGCCACTGCTGACACTGAGGCTCTCGCCCTGGTGAAGTCGGAGCTGCAGAAGAGACACACGTGCACAGACCTGGGTGAACTGCGTAGCTACCTTGGCTTGCAGATCACCCGGGACAGAGCACGACGCACCATCACACTGACTCAGTCACACATGGTGCAGCAGGTCCTTCAGCGCTTCGGCTTCACCTGGTCCTCGCCACAGTCCACTCCTCTGGCTACAGATCACTCGCTCTCAGCTCCACCTTCGGACGAGTCCGTAGAGCCGAGTGGTCCGTACCCAGAGCTAGTGGGCTGCCTCATGTACCTGATGACCTGCACTCGTCCTGACCTTGCGTACCCTCTTGGTCTTCTCTCTCGTTATGTGGCTCCTAGTAGGCACCGACCAGAGCACATGGCTGCTGCTAAGAGGGTACTGCGCTACTTGTGCAGTACATCGGGCATGGGGCTCGTGCTTGGAGGGCGGAGCCCAGTTGTCCTCACTGGGCACTCGGACGCTTCTTGGGTTGACGACCTGGCTACGCAGCGGTCGTCACAGGGTTACACCTTCAGTCTTGGCTCTGGCTCTGTTTCTTGGCGGTCTACACGCTCGTCTTCTGTTCTCAGCTCCAGTTGTGAGGTTGAGATCTACGCCACAGCCATGGCTGCACAGGAGTTACGCTGGCTTACCTACCTGCTGACCGACTTGGGAGAGAGGCCTCGTTCTCCTCCAGTTCTGTACGTCGACAACAAGGCTGCCATTGCCTTGTGTCAGGACCACAGACTGGAGCACAGAACGAAGCACATTGCTCTGTGTTACTTCCTTGCTCGAGAGTTGCAGCAGCGTGGTCAGCTTCGTGTCGCTCACGTGCCCACTCAGGCCAACACTGCTGATGTGTTCACCAAGGCCCTTCCGGCTGGTGATCATCAGCGCTTCTGCACTGCTCTAGGCCTGGTGCCTACGTTTCCTCACTTGCTGTAGACTCTGGTTGTACTGTGATCTATATATGTATACCTTTCCGCATGTTTACGCTTGCTAGGTAGTGATCACTGTACTGTTGTTGTTGCATATATACCTCTGCATGTGAACTGGCCTTGTGGCCCCTTGCTTGTGCTCAGAGTGTGTGGTGACGTTGTGATCCACCCCGAGCTTGCTTTGCTTTTCTTGACTGGTCTTGTGACCCCTTGTTCTCCCCCACTTTGCCTATGGGGGTGTGTCAAACTATATATATGACTTATAATTAAATTTAGGCTTTAGTGGGGTAGCCAATATAGGGTACGACCCCTTAGGGTTCTCATTCTTGTACCCCTTTCTCTCGATAGTCAACTTCACCTACTCTAACACAAAGTGGTCAAGCGAGTCAGCCCTCTGCGCGCCCAGGAATGAAGGGGAGTGTTACGATACGAAGTTTTATGAGAAGGCATTCCTGTATGCTGCAGGAACTGTCTCTAGCGAGTACGAAGTCTAGGCGTCAGAAGAGTCGAAGCGACACCCCCATCCGTCCGACCAAGAGGCAGAAACATTCGAATTGAAAAGAGCGGGAACATGTTTAAAACTGGTTCCCGCGCCACACGGTTTGAACTTCTCTGCAATAAGGGAATGTACCTCTTAGAGTACATGGCTAGTTAGGTCGTTTCGTATTCCTTTGTATTTCTATATAAACCCTATGTATGCATGCTATTATCATCTCAGTCATTTGTCAGAATGTTATGTTTGTCTAGCCTGCAGTGGGGTACTCTATAGTGAGTACAACCCAAACTAGGGTTTCCTATATGTATCCTACCTACTGCTAGTGCAAAACCCTCTTTGCGTGTTTCTCGTTTTCGCCTGCTATCTTGACATGCTATCAGAGCAGGTCGACCCTCCTGGGTCGATCCTGTGGGTGGGCCCACCCGATGCTTCCGCTGCTGTTCTGCTTCTCGCGCGCCTCGGGCGCGTGACGTTTTCAGCCTGCCGCGTTTTTAGGGTTTCTACGATTTTCTGCTCGCCGCGCGCTCCGAAAGCTCGGCGGTTTTCTGCCCGCTGTACGCCCCGAGGCGCGTGGCGGTTTCCCACCGTCGAAGCGCCCCCCGTCGCCCGTCGAAGCGCCCCTCCCCCCGTCGCCCGTCGAAGCGCCCCCGTCGCCCGTCGAAACGCCTCCGTCGCCCGTCGAAGCGCCCCTGGGCCCCGCGCGGGCCGCGCGCGGCCCGTACGACCTGCGCCAGGCCCGCGCGCGGCCCGTACGGCCTGCGCCAGGCCCGCGCGCGGCCCGTACGGGCTGCGCCAGGCCCGCGCGCGGCCCGTACGGGCTGCGCCAGGCCCGCGCGCGGCCCGGGCAGCCCGCGCGCGGTTCGTTCGACCTGCGCACGCCGTCCCCCGAGCTGCTGACCGCGCCCCACCCCTGCTGCTGCCCGCGCTCCTGTTTTAGGGTTTGGGGGTGGCGAGTGTGGGGGTGATAGGTGTGTGCGCCGTCCCCTGCTCCTCCTCCTCCTCCGGCTCCCACTGCTGCAGCTGCCGCTGAGGGGGGTGGGTGTGTTGGAGCCGTCGGAGTGGTACTAGGGGGGTGGCGTGTGAGCAGTGCTAGAGGTACAGCAGAGGGTGTGTGAAAGGGTTTTGGGACAGCTGGAGGAAGTTGAGTGGAGGCAATCGTCTTGTCGTCCGCAGCCACGACCCCCTGTGGCCTGAGTAGTCCGGGGCTCTGCGCCCGGTAGCCACAGTGTGAGCACTCCTGGTAGTCCAGAGAGCCACGACCCGCTGTGGCCTGAGTAGTCCGGGGCTCTGCGCCCGGTAGCCACAGTGTGAGCACTCCTGGGAGCACAGCGAGCCAGCTGCGCCTGTCGCCGTGTAGTCCGGGTTTAGCCTGGTAGCGTCAGTGCTGCGCACTCCTGGTGCCCGTGTGTCTGCAGCTTCAGCCGTCGCCTCCCATCTTCTCGCCCCCACAGTTTTTCCTCCTCCTCACTTGCCCTCTGTGATAGTCTCTAGCTTTGCGTATCATTGTGAACTATTGCTATGCCTGCTTGTTGTGCTGATTATACCCCACTTTGACTATGGGGGTGTGTCAGAATGTTATGTTTGTCTAGCCTGCAGTGGGGTACTCTATAGTGAGTACAACCCAAACTAGGGTTTCCTATATGTATCCTACCTACTGCTAGTGCAAAACCTCTCTTTGCGTGTTTCTCGTTTCACTTCAGATCGTAACAATATATTTAAAATATATTTCTATTTTATGACTGGGGAAATTGATTCAAAATTCTAGATACTACTGTTATTTATATTGTAGGAATTTTGAGGTTTTGGAGTCCTTCCAATCAAGAACTGTTTTACTTCAAATGTATCCATTTTATATCCATCTTCTCGATACCCCTTGATGAGTTTTCGTTTGACTGGCTAACGTGTTTCTGCTTCACATACAGCCCACACGGAAGAGGGCGTATCCATCGGTAACCTGTGCGGAATTTGAAACGGTTAGGGGTCGATTTACAGTTGGGGGCACACTTACGGACCTCCCCTGTATGTCATTTGCCTGGTCCGAGGAAGCCTATTTCGTAAACCAATTCCTCGTCATCCGACGGGTCAATGATGTGAATAGGCCCAGCAGAATACTCCCTCCTCATCGTTCAAGCAGTAATCACGTTCCATCAAATCCCACCACTCTGACTCCCCACCGCATTCCCCGCTCACTAGGGAACCTCCTTCCCCGCCAGCCATACTAACGCGTTCCACAACCTTTCTCGCTCGCTATCGCAGCGGCGTGGTAGCGTCGAGCGCGCACTTCAAATAGCCAGCCCACAGCAGCCATGGAGCCTCGTGAAGTGCCGCTTCTGTGCCGTAACCCCCTGTTGTGCCATCTCGCCGTCGCTCTCTCTCTGCGAGACTATCTCGCCGCCCCTCATTCTGCCCAACCATCGTCGGCGAATCTGCGCCCATATCGCGCCAACCACTGCCATCCACCATCGCTACCGCCACCTGCGCTGCGCCTCTCCGCCGCGCCTCTCCGCTGCGCCGATCGGTTTTCCGCTCAGCTCGCCACAATGGGCGGCTTTACGGCGCTGCTCGCGCTCGCCCTCAGTCCACCATTCCCCCCTCTCGCCGCGACTCCTTTCTGTATGCGCATGCCGGCGTGCTTTCGTCCGTCTCTCTTGCCTTTTGTGCCCACAGGCACCGCAGTCGCCTTCACTCTCGCGTGCACCGGCAGTGAATCCGCAGCCTGCCGCTCTCCGCGCCACTCGTGATGCTTCACAGCGCCATTCGCGTCCGCACACCACCGAATCCCACTGGAGGAAACGCGGAATCCGAGCCTCGTACACTATCGGACGAATTGTCAACATGATGCGACCACACCAACTTCCAACTCCCCGCCCTGCTCTCTTCCCCTCTCGCCCCTCCTCGCCCTCACCTGCAGCGAGTGACGTCATCCGCGGGGCCCAAGGCGGCCGTTTGGAGGTGCCGGCGACGCTGCCGGTGGCGACGCGGATCACGCTGGGCGCCTTCGCGTTCAACTTCACGTCGGCGCGCTGCACCAACCTGCCGCGCACCACCCCCAACGCCACGGTGCAGTGGACGTCCAAAGCCACGCCCACCCTCCCCGCGTGCAAGAACATCACCTTCTGGAGCGGCGCGTCTTGCTCCGGCACCTCCTCCTACTTCCTCACGAGGCCCCCAAGGTCAGCGCCGCGTCTGTGCCATGGCGGGGTGGGTGGGGTGGTGCGGGGTACGGTACGGTTTGGTCAAATTTGATTTTACGAACTTGTATCCAGCGAACTTCCCTAAGCTGTGAGCCGGCACGATGAGGCAGCGTTGTGAGCTCCATTGTGGCATCTCTCCTCTCGCGTGCACCCCGTGCCTTCCCCCAACAGCCTGACCACCAACACCTCCCAAGCCACTCTCCCCTATCCGACGGCAGTGTCGGCTCGCTGCGCTATCGGTCCGCTCCTTGCCGCTCCTTGCCGCCCTCCTTCCAGTCAAGAGAGTGCCTGTCGCTGCACAGCAATCACCTGTTCTGTCAGTGTTCTGCGCAACAATCCCCTGAGCTAATCCCATCTGTCTCGTCCACTGCGTGCAGACAACATGTGCCAGTACACCAAGTGCCCTGCGGGTTCCACCTGCAAGACAACCACGGACACCAGAGGCGTCACCTGCGCGTGCAATCAGGACCTTTACGCCTACCAGGGCACTTGCCAACGTAAGCCACTCTCAGCGCCTCAACTCCATCCTCTCCCCTCGCCGGATTGACTCCACATGCCCCACCGGATTGACTCCCTCCTCTTGCTGTGCTGCCCCTGCTCTCTCCCCGCCCGCCCTGCATCCATCCATCACTGACGCCACCAGCGTTGGAGGTCGCGGTTCAATCGCCGGACTACGACACGCTGATTGACGTCACGGGGGTGCCCACGGAGGTGGACGCCAAGCTGCCCGTCGCCACGCAGCTCGCAGTGGGCGCCTACAGCGTGCCCTTCGACCCCTCCTCGCGCTGCACCCGCGTGCCCGAGGGCACCACGTATGCTGGCGTCAGCGCGCCTGTGAGCGTGCTGTGGGACGTTGCCAGCAGCGCGGTTGGAGGCGTGGTGAGCGCGCCGTGCTCGTCACTGTGGTTCTTCAGCGGCAGCAGCTGCAACAGTGGCACGGCGTTCAGCAGCCTCAGCAAGACCGCCTCCAGGTCAGTGCTGCCATGTTTTGCTCCGCGGTGGTGTGGCGCTGCGTCATGGGGGCATGCAGGGCACAGGGTAGGCACAGGGAGGACGGAGAAGCAAGGGATGGGAGGGGAGGGGGGTGAGGGAGACGCTGGTATAAGTGGAGTTGAATGGGGTGAAATCCGATGTGTAGCAATGAGATGCCGTGGTATTCTCTGATGGGATCATGACTTACACCTTTTCTATACGTTGCCACCCTTGCTGTTCTGTTTTGCTTCTTCCTGTGAGCAGCCAGACGGCCACGATCACGCCGACCACTCCACTCGCGTCAATTGATTGCCCAATCTGTACGTCTCCTTGCTGCCTTTCACCCCTTGCTGCCTTTCACCCCTTGCTGCCTTTCACCCCTTGCTGCCTTTCTCTTCTTGCTGCCTTTCACTTGCTGCCTTTCACTTGCTGCCTTTCACTTGCTGCCTTTCACTTGCTGCCTTTCACTTGCTGCCTTTCACTTGCTGCCTTTCACTTGCTGCCTTTCACTTGCTGCCTTTCACTTGCTGCCTTTCACTCCTTGCTGCCTTTCGCCTCTTGCTGCCATTGAAGGAGCCTTTTACTTTGAATCGGTGTGGACCTGGCAGTGAGTCTGATCTGAATGTGCTGCGCTGCTCGTGTGTGCAGCCTGGCCGTGCAAGTACGCCTCGTGCCCCAACAACTCGGTGTGTCTGGACGCAAGCGGCAGCAAGCGAGCCACCTGCAAGTGCGACGAGGGTTATATCGCCGTCAACGGCACCTGCCGAGGTACAGTGCTGTGCTTACAACAGCTTCCGGAGGTGCACCGCTGAGCTTCTCTAAGTACACAAGTCCGTGCTCTCTGTCGTTACTCCTGACGCATGCTCGGTACAACAACCCATGGAGGCAATGTATCTTTCGCAAGCAAGACTATTGTTCGGAAATGGAAAGCATGCATCATCGCTCACTTGGGATAATCCACAGCTGTGCTTTGTTTGGGATCTGCTCGCCAGCCTTTTGAACCTATCGGTACATTCTTCTCATAGCTTTTCTGCTCTTCTGCATCACCTCCCTCCTCCTGCAGACAAGTGCAGTCTGCTGTGCCCGGTCAACGCCTATTGCATCAGGGATGCAGTCGGGGAGCCACAATGCTTCTGCAACAAGGGATTTGATATGAACACTGCGGACAGTACTTGTGTTGGTGAGTATGCCGTGTCCCACCGGTATGAAATATGGGGAGTGGAAATTGCACTGCTTACTGGATAACTGATGTTGCAAATTCTCCCTGCCACGCGATCAGCATGCTGCTCTTGTTGCTTTGCAGCCTGATTTCATGGCTGTCTGTCAAAACCGGTCAACATTCCATGTATGTGTATTCCTCCGAATCTGTATTCATCATTTATCCATGCACCTTCATTCCCGCCACGTTTGTATTCCTTTCATGGCAGACAAGTGCGCATCAGTGAAGTGTGGGCTCAACAAGACGTGCACAAAGGATGCTGACGGGACTCCATCCTGCACCTGCAGCACCGGCTTCAAGCTGGCGGCCGATAATACCACTTGCATTGGTGGGTTGGAGGGAGCGCAGCACAGGGCCTATGGCCTTGCATCTAGACCACAGTCCTTGGAACTACTTTGGGCTTGAACTGCTGGTGAATTTGTTTCCCCTTAACCGTGTTTCAGGATTTCCACAACCACTATCCTTGTTTTTTTCGCCCACCTTCTGTTTCATGTGCTCTTGTTGCCGCCGGCAGGCAGTGGGTGATCCCATCCCAACCCAATGCTCTGGGCGCCTTGAGATTTGAGCCAACACTCTGTTCTCACCGGCCCATATCTCTTCTCCTAACCCACGTGCACTGCAGACAAGTGTGCGTCGGTGACGTGCAAGGCCAGCTCGAGTTGCGTCAAGGATGCGGATGGGAATACAAGATGCGATTGCATCAAGGGCTACGAGAGGCTTCCAGGCAATGACACTTGCGTTGGTGAGTTGCCTTGGTCGGTTGGCTTCACTATAGCAGCTGTTCAAACCGAACTGGCAAGCATGCAAATAGCATGACCTGGTGGCATGCACACATGAACGAGGGCCAAGATCACTGTGATGAGCTGGTGTGAGTGAACCTCTGGAAGGGAAGGAGTGAGAGTCACTTCGTGCATGCCATGAGTGGATTGGTCAATACGATGCTCTTGTCGCCACATTTCAAACCTCATCATCATTCCCTTCATGTGTGTATGCTTTCCATGGCAGACAAGTGTGCGTCGGTGACTTGTCCTCTCAACAAGACGTGCACGAAGGATGCGGCTGGAAATCCGACCTGCGTTTGCAGCACTGGCTTCAAGCTAGCGGCTGACAACACCACCTGCATTGTGTGAGAAGAAAAGTTAGAAGAGAAGTTAATTGATTGATTGAAAAGGATGGGGGGTTTACATAGGAGATGGGTTGGAAACTAGCCTAGGTGAACATTATTGGACCCCAACCAAGGAGTTGGGTTGGGAGATTATTGGTGGGGTCCAATAATGTTGGCCAAGTTGGAGTTGGGCCAACATTATTGGAGGGGACCAATAATTCTACCCATCCCAACCCTTGGGGTCCAATAATTGGACCAAGGTTGGGTTTCCAACCTACAAATTGGGTAACCCCTGCTTGTACACCCAAACTAAGTTTGGGTGCTTATCTCTAGCCTATCCTATAGCATATATGCAGGTTACAAGAGAGGAGATATTCTAACACAACCCCTTAACCTGCAGAGATGCGGAAAGGCTTGAGAGAAGCAACCCCTGAATCAAGGCGCGCCTGGGGGAGCGAGGCCAATGAGGCGGAGGAGAGCAGAGTGCGCGGGGCGAAGAAGTGCTTTGGTGAAGATATCCGCCAAATTGGCTTCAGTGGCGATCTTGCGGACGGCGATAAGATTCTGTCGGACGAGGTCGCGGATGAAGAAATAACGGAGCTCGATGTGCTTGGAGCGACCATGAAAGACTGTATCTTGGGTGAGATGGATGGTGCTGGCGTTGTCACACCAGAGCGTGGGACAGCGCTGGGGGGCACCAAGCTCTGCCAGAAGAAAGCAGAGCCAGCGGGACTCTTGAGCGGCCATGGTGCCCGCATAGAGCTCAGCTTCGCAGGAAGAGAGAGCGATGGCTGAGGAGCGGGTGGAACGCCAGCTGATAAGTCCGCTGCCGAGGGTAAAGCCATAGCCTTGGGAGGAGCGGCGGTCTGGCTGATTGTCTGCCCAGGAGGAGTCACTGAAGCCCGAGAGAAGGGGAGGGGAGGATCCACCCAGTGTGAGAGCGTGATCCTTGGTGCCGCAGAGATAGCGGAGGACCCGCTTGGCGGCAGCCCAGTGTTCCTCAGTGTGACGGCCAGAGCCGACGAACCGAGCAAGGACGCTGACGGGGTA